TATTGCTTCTAAATTTAGATATTTATCGTTTCTAACATTCAGATTGGATATACATTATTCTTAAAAGAAATTAAGTTAAAAGTCTGTAAGTCTAAGTTTAATTTGCTTCAAATCTTTTTAAATGAAGCCTTTATAATAAGTTGAAAAGCATTTTAGTTTTTAAAATAATTTTGTCATTATTCACTTATGCTTATTAATAATTATAATTATATTATAATTTAAAGCTTTCCTTAGTTATATTTATTTACATAGATAGATCATTATTTATATAGATTAAATTAGTTAAAAAACTGTTATTTTTTATAGCATAACTTTTTATACATCAATTTCTCTTTGTATGAATTCAAATACATTATTTAATGAATTTTTTTTAATAAAGAGATAAAAGTAACCATAAACCTAGCTAAGAAAATGCTTGATTATTAACACTAATTTAATTTTTGTAACGAAAAAAAATTAAAACCTTTCTAGTCTTTCTTAACAAACACTTCAATCTTTAATTAGTCATTAAACGGAATTATTTTGAAATCTAATAAAAGTTAGCTTTTATGCTTTTCGTCGCATAAAAATGTGAACAATAAGATATTAGCAAACCTAAATAAAGAAGCAGTGTTCAATCAAATTTGAATATTTTATATGTAGGGCTTTAAAAAAGACATTAATTTGGGCATATTTTACTAAAATTACTCCACGTTAAGCTTTTTATTTTTAAATTTTGCTCAAAGCAAACGCAATTTAAACTATTTTATTTCTCTTTATCTCGTAAATCTCATTTTAGTGGGATTATGAACACGTTCTTCGTAATTAATTTCGGTTTGCGTTTTAGTAATATTCAAAACTAAATTAAATATTATTTTTTATTAATAAATGAGTATAGCTTGCTCATTAATTAATTAAATGTGGGACAAATTTTATTTCCACAATACACAATTTTTTTCTAAAAATACTTAAATAGCATATTTTTCTGACAAAAAAATGTGTTATTTAAGTATTTTTAGAATTTTTGCAAAAGAAAAAAAACCGTATTATGAAAAAGTTTTTAAGTAATTAATTTACTTGTTTAAAAACTTCATTCGCTTCAAATATATACGAATTGGAAATAATAGTAGACATGTTTCAAGTGCTCAAAAACAGGAGCTCATTTTCAAGACTTGCTAGGCGAGAATAAGAAAAAAAATTGACTATCATTTCCAAATTTATTCACTTTTGAATCAAGAATTATTTTACCGTTTCTGCTTCCTGGGAAAATTTATTTAATTAACACCATATAATTCTTTATTCGTACCTAAAATTTATGTATCCTTCCATCTTATAAACAATTATTATAATGTTATCTAATCTTAAATTTTTCTTATTTTTCTTGTTTTTTCTAATTTATTTTTATAAGAGTTGTTTATTAAAAGAGGCTACTAATTTAGAACTTACTGTAAGCCTTAAACCAAAACATGATATTTTATTAACTAAAAAGTGAATATTTTTATTACAATTACTAATGTTATAGGTTTTTAATGCAAGCTGTTCTATTGGTGGCATTTATGAATAGACATCATCATATTTATACTAATTGTGTTCATCTCTACGTAAAGAATAAGAATTGCAGATCAATGAGTCTAAGTTTATAGGAAGACAACTGTAATAAGTCAAACAATTGCTAAAACATTTAGACCTGAGAATATTGTCTCCCTAGTAAACTAAAAATAGAAGGTGCTCCAAAATGTCACAAATGTGTCACAAATGTGAATTAAAAAATATAAGTTTTTAAGGTTGCAAATTAATATTCAAGCAAGAAATGCTTGCGGAAACTTACAAATCACTATTGATGAAAGCTGTTGCACATAGAATCAAAACCTCTTTGATTGAGGAGTCGTAAACAAAAAGTTATTGTATGACAATAATTTGAAATATCTTCAACTGCAAACGCCTTCCTCATAAATAATTTTCCAGCATTGAAAATATTTTTGTTTTTTCCTTTTAAATATTAATTTGTTATGTTTATATGTTTTTGTTTTAATTTTTGACATGTATTTATAGATATCCAAGGAGGCCATTACAGAACACCCTATTTAAATCATCAAATTTATTTCCATCCAAATGTGTTCAGCCGAAGATGAACCAAAACTTTTACTTGTTACCTACCTTTTAATCCAAATTTTAATTTACCAGAAATGAAAGAAAGGAATAAATTATAAAATAATAAGTTGAAACAATGTTATCAAAATAAATTTTATGAATGCGTTCCATACTTATCTTTTCAATATGTTGGCAAGTGCTGGAATATTCTCAAAAAAAAATACCTACCTCTATAATATGTTATCCAAAATTTGTCATTAAGAAGAAGTAAAGTAACTGATCAACATCAATCCTTTATTATACGAATTATCATAACTTCAAACAACAATTAAATTTTTAACGAAATATGCGGAATGTTAAAAAGGTCTGCTAATCCCTATTCTAAATATTAAATTAGGTAGAAAAAAGAGTATTTCAGAAATGTTTGTCATATTTCAATTGCTTTGTTCTACTCTCCAGAAACTCGATTCAACGGTTGAATTTTATAACCACGCTCATGTGCTGCCTACTGAATAAGATGAAACATGGTATCATGTATATAGGTGTAATAAGCATTAACTAGGGCTTAATACAATTTAAATTGGCTTCTTATTCTGGTTGTAACAAGTTTGCTACATATTACGAGGAGAAAAAAATTCTGGTACAATTACCGAACTGTATGGTAATAAAACTTCTGGTTAAAAAAACAACAACATAATTTTGAGTAATAAAACCAAAATATATTATTTTTGCACCACTCACTTCATAATTTTTTCAATCATGTGGTAATGGTTTACAAAAATTTCTGATTTTAAAAATTATAATCCTTATTACCACACATTTACTAAAAAATATGAAACTGAAAAGTAAATTCAAACGAATAAGTGATTTTTATGCCATGCTCTAAGGTATTATGATAAAATTACCAAATTTTATCCCATATTATAAAGCCATATTTTATTGTTAAATTTACCAAAGTCATTACCAAATCGCTTCGATAAAATTTACCGAGCTTTTTGGTGTTCCCATAGTGTCAGAAATACGATAAATTTAGACATGCTCTGACTATACTCCTTTTATCAGTGCATATTTCAAAGTGCTCCAAACCATTTAACATTGAATTACCAAGGTCTTTTTAAAATACTTAATATCAGGTGATTATTAATTACCCATAAAAAGAGTGACCAAGAGTTTATTCCAGTATACTAATAACGTACAATCTTTCTTTTAATTCTCCTTTTTGAAATAATTTTTTATGGATTCCTAAACTATCAGAATTTATAGCAAGAAACCACATAAATCAGAACTTAATAAAACTGAATCTTATTTGATAAATTATAATACATTATTATTGACGTATAGTGCCAAAATGGTTTGCATAGTTATTCATGCCTTATTTGTTAATTTTTGAACATAGTGCATGCTTAAAAACGCAATTTAATCTAAACAAGCCCCTATCTATTCCAATATAGTGAGCATATGTCGATGTGGTATCTGAATGTTTTCTTTTAAAAATAAAACGATTGTAACGATATCGATATCTAATGCAGAAATTTTAAAGAAACTGTACTTATTTTTAAAAAACAATTATGTGACGTTTAAAGATAAGAAATACTTTTATAAAAATAAAACAAACGAAAGTTAAGATAACGGTTTCTACAAAAACACTGAAATCTGTCAATGTGACACATTTTCGGTATTTTATTCCTACAAACTCCAAGAAATTTACTATTATAATATTTGCTTCAGGAATAAGACAATTCTTGTATCTTGAAAATAATTTTCATTAAAGAAATTTTAATAAATTTATTTTGAAAAGCGTTATATCACAAATAAAAATAATAGATACCTTTTAGAAATTAAAATTAAGAAAAAGGTTTCTACAAAAGCGATTGAAATGAAGTCTGTCAATGTCACATATTTTCTTTATTTTTTTCCTACAAATTCCAAAAAATGTACTATTTTGTTTAAGAATAAAGCAAATCTTCGATCTAGAAATTAATTTTCATTACAGAAAATAAATGGATTTATTTTGATAGGCGTTATATGACAATTAAAAATAAAAGATACTTTTCTGAAAATAAAACAAAAATTAAGATAACGGTTTTTACAAAAACAATTAAACTTAAGTCCGTCAATGTGACACGTTTTCTTAATCTTTCTCCCTCAAATTGCAAAAAATTTACTATTTTGTTTTAGAAATAAAATAATCCTTCTATCTAAAAAATTATTTTCATTAAAGAAAATAAAAAGTGGATTTCTTCTTTAATCGTTATAATTAAAAATAATAGATACTTTTCAGAAAATAAAACGAAATTAAGATAACGGTTTCTACAAAAAAATGAACAACATTCTGTGGTTGGGACACGTTTTCTTTGATTTTCTCCTACAAATTCTAAAAAATATATTATTTTGCTATTATAACAATTCTTCTGTTAAGAAAGCAATTTTCACAGAAAGAAAATTAAATAGGTTTAATTTGATAAGTGCTGTATCACAATTAAAAACAATAGATACTTTTCAGGAAATAAAACAAAAGTTAAAATAACGGTTTCCAAAAAACAAAATTGAACTGAAATCTGACAATATGATATATGTTTTCTCCCTTTTCAACCTACAAATTTCAAAGGATTTACTATTTTATCTGTGGAATCTAACAATTCTTCTATTACTAGAGTAATTTTCCTTAAAGAAAAGTAAATGAATTTATTTTGATAAACTTTACATCTTATTTAAAGATAATAGATTCTTTTCACAAAATAAAACAAAAGTTAAGATAACAGTTTTTAAAGAAACAATCGATTTGAAGTTGGCAGAGTAACATGTCTTCTTCACTTTTTCTACTACTAATTCCAAACGATTTATCATAGTGTTAGTGTATTACTTTTCTTAAGAAACTAACTTTCTTTAAAGAAAATGAAATTGATCCGGAAATCAATAAAGATATTTACCTGTCTCATCCAAAAATAAGAGAAAAAGAAGTAAACACGTTCCGAAAATCCTTGCTGGTTCCATCGCGATCTGACGAGCATATGGTAAGAAACGAGGTCTTAAAAGCTGAACCTGTCTTTCCAGATACTCTTTCCTTTCACACCCACGGGGCTCACATCTCTAATTTCTTTTCCTGTGCTTTCTTTATTTTTAATTACGATAGAGTAGATCACTTGGATTTTATCTAAATACAATCATTTTCTTCATGCTTCATTAACCCTTACTATCTCACGAATTTCAATTTGTTGATCTTCATTTTAAAACAGCTTTTTTCAGCTCTTTATTTTATGTGCATATGGAAAATGCAATTAATAAGTGGGAAACAGAATGTCTACCCAAAATAATAATTTTTTCTACGACAGTTAGTTTTTATAAAGTACCGCTATAGTGTCTATACATTACATAAAAAATATTCAAGCTGAGGTGCGTGACATGACACAAAGGCGCTGTCTTTCAAAACTACAGGAAGTTTTCAGACAAATTAATATTATACTTTTTTCTAAGATCCTTTTTGGATAATAATATTTTCTTTCGACGTATCTATAAAGTATCTGGTGCGTAACATAACACAGAGGAGTTGTCTTTAAAAATTATAGTAAGTTTTTAGACAAATTAATATTATACTTTTTCCTCAGATTCTTTTTTGGACAATGATATTTTCTTGGAACGCATCTATAAAGTATCTGGTTCGTAACATAACACAGAGGAGTTGTCTTTAAAAACTATAGTTAGATTTCCGACAAATTAATATTATACTTTTTTCACAGATTCTGCTAAAAAAATTATACTTTCCAGCAACGTATCTATAAAGTATATGGTGGATAATATAACACAGAGAAGCTTACTTTTTTCTTCGATTCTTTTAGGAAAATGATGAACATATCGATAAATTTTCTGATGTTTAACATAACACAAAGGAGTTGCCTTTAAAAACTTTAGAAAGTTTTCAGACAAATTAATATTATACTTTTTTGCTCAGATTTTTTTTAGAAAATGATGCTTTCTAGGAATATATCTATAACGTATTCCATGTATGTCCATGCATATAAGGTCCGTGCATGTAAGATTCAAGTATATAAGGTATAAAGTATGTCCATGTCCCTCTCTCCTTGTGATAAGTGTGTGAATTATTTTTACAGAAAGTGGGGAAAATTTAAATTTACTTTTAATCTGGAATAATTATCAAATGCCAATAATCCTACGTTTTAATTTTTTTAATCACCAATGTTAAAGAGCCTGCGGAGTTCGAGCCTTAGCTCCCATACTTCGAAATAAACTTCAACTTTCACTTTTTGTGACGTAAGTGATACAAACATTCTCTCCTCAGCAGCTTACCACAGATGCATTCGATACCTTACTGTGCTTGGTGATGCGTCGAATTTCATTCTTGTATTTCTAAACTAACTAAACGTAATTTTATGAATTGATTGTTTGTAAGCATTAAATGATTTATTTTAAATGTTAATTAAGATTAATTAATTATTTTTACTAGTTATTATAATTAATGATAAAAGTTGATTCATGACGGATTCGAGGCTGTGTCAATGTTCAACTAGGTATATTTTTTAAACTTTTGAACCCCACTCAGAAGACAAGAGAAGTCCTGAGTTGAGCATGGGAACAGGCTAAATTTTCTGGAATACTTTTTGAGTAAGACTCCATTATTGAAGAGGGAAAAAATGAGGTTCCACTGTAAGAAGGCTGTAAACCAAAGTCCATCGCCCAAAAAATTAACCAACTATCGCCGGGATTTGATGCGGGGTTGAGAAATGAGCACTATACTCCCTGAGCAATTCCGGGTTCTCAACACTTAAAATTAAATTACAAAAAATATTACGAATCAAAATATAACCAAAATAATTAATATGACTAATATCGGTCTTTTTGTGCTGAAGCAGTTAATAAAAATAGAAAGCAGTTAATAAAAATCACTGTGAAACTTTCAAAAATAAAATTTTAAAAAAATCAGTTCATAATAATCTCACAAAAGTGTCCTTCTTCAGATGTATTTTTCTCACATCATTCATAAATTTTTAAAAAAATTCACATAATTTACCTACTGTATTATTTTTATGTCGTCAATAAGATATTTCTGGTGTATTTTCTAAGTGGTAATTACTAATTTCTAAACTGCTATTTACACACAAGTATAAAAATATTCCATAAAAACAATTGCTTATGAAATATTCTTTAGCTTATATAATTTATATAAAACGCATATTTTTGTACTATATAATAAATATTATTAATATTTAAATTTTTAAAAAAATTACAGAAAAGTGTATATGTTCTGTATTCATGTATTTGCGTAATTGTAAATAGCAGAAAGCAGTTACCATGCAATTAGTATCACAATTACCATGGTGGTCATGGAGGTTACGGCTTCAAGATCTCATAAATAGGTGGTAATGTGGTCAACCCTGTGCACTAGTCACTTTTATATGCCAGACAAACTAGTACCCACCAATATGAAACTGAGTGGGTTTCAACCCACCACCGGTCATCAAACCCTAGTTCTTCCCCGTGCCATAATCACTGAGTTATATGCTATTTCAAAAATTCGTTTTAAATTAAAAATTTGATAGAATGGAATTTTTTTCAGTTAAGAGTTTTAAAAGAGTAAAATGTTTTAATAATAATATATATAATAATATATTAATACATTAATTCATTAATTCAATACCATTAGCTACTTTCTTATCTTGATTCAATAAAATGATAACTTTATTTTTTTTTCTTTCATTCTATACTTATTGTGCAGGTTTCTTTACTGTAATCAGAAATAAAAATTTATTTTTAATACCTACTGAGGTGAAAAGATCTGAAAAACCCGATTTCAATTATAAAACCCGGATACAATGTGCATATAAAAAGAAAAACATTATTTCTGAGAAAATGAAATAAATTTATTTTGGTGATCTTATTTTAAATAATTGCAATCTTAGCAAGAAAAACCTGATATAAAAACTGGAAGAAGATTTATTTCTCAAAATAGAATTCAGATAAGTTTTAACATTAAATGAATAAATAAAAAACATAATCTGAAATTACATATACCGCATTCTCGGTATATTTATTTATTGGTAACAAGAAACAGCATATTAACTTTATAATATTTTAGTAAATATTCAGATGTTGATACTTATAAATGAAAGAAAATAATTTTATCAACATCATCAGGTTTTCCGTGTTGCTCATAACTGATAGGCTTGCTCCATTTCTTTTTCACTATGTGGAAAACATACAACTTAAGCAAACCTTAAATCGTTAAAAGTAATAAGCTATTACTTCGAAAAGTTTTTTTCTTCTTTTCAATTTCTTTCCTCGATCTTAAGATTTCTGTTTAAAAGAACCGGCCAGACGAGTCTGCGCTTTTGTTTTAAAACACTTCCTAAACGCATAAAAATACTCGGCAAAAATAAAATTTTATGATTGCAAAAGACACAAGCCCCTCAAAGAAGTAATTTTCCAATTGTTTCTTAAACTAGTTTTCGACGGTATGAGGATATTTTTAAACTGTAATATAATCATTAAGCAAGGCAATACCAATACTATAGTTCTCTTAATATTTAAAAGAAATAACAGAATCAATTGCAAAAAGTGTTAGTTAACAGTATTTTTTTATTTTGGAAATTTCATAAATTTAGAATTTTCATTCAACAATTTACAAAAAAATAAATTTTATGATTGCAAAGAATGTAATCCCCTTCAAGAAGTTTTTTCGATAGTTTACTAAACAAGTTTTCGAAGGTGCATGCATATTTTTAAACTAGTATAAACTTATTTAAGTAAATTTATTTAACCCTGTAATTATAATATTATAGTTCTCTTAATATTTAAAAGAAATAACATTAATATTAATTGCAAAAAGTGTTAATTACAATCAGATTTTTTTAACTTTGAAAATTTCAAAAGTTAAGAAATTTTTTTCAGCAATTTATAAAAATTAAATTTTATCAGTGCAAGGGATGCAAGCTCCTTTGGAAAGAACTTTCGATAGTTTACTAAACTGGTTTTTATCGGTGTGCGTATATTTTTAAATAAGTATATTTGTTTAACCTTGTAATTATAATGCTATGATTCTATTGTTATTTAAGAGAAATAACATTAAAATTAGTTGCAAAAAGTGTTAAATTACATTCGGATTTTTTTTTACTTAGGCACTTTCACAAATTTAGAATTTTTTTCCCACCATTTTAATTAACAGATTCGCCAAATTTTTTATTTATCAACTAAAAATTTTGGAAATATGCCTACTAGGGGAAAAGAGCATTATTGTTTGTTTTATTTCCTAGAATATTCGCAATTTTTACTTAATAATTATAATAGTTTCCCCAATAGCAAAAATTTCTGTATTTATCTGCAGATCAATTAATTAAATAATTGTATTTACTAATCATTGTCTAAAAGACAAATTAAATCTACGAAATGCATCACCGATCAGTCATCTGAATTTAGAAAAATTTAATTATACTTATCAAAAATATATTAAGCAATTTTTAAGATTTTGAAGGGTCACTAATTGCGAGTATGAAAAAATCTAAATATTTTCATAAACTATAAATTAAGCAATTTTTTGGATTTTGAAAGATCACTAATTGTAAATATGAAAAAAATCTAAATATTTTCATAAACTATATATTAGTTTATGACTATATATTAGTCAGTTTTCAGGATTTTGAAGGGTCACTAATTACGAATATGAATGTCAGATTTGCAAAACTCATTTTGGTTAATCCAATATATTGATACAAAAGGATTATTTTTACGATATCTTACGAACTATTATCATAACACTTAGATAAATGAGTAACTGTTTATTTTCAGGATTCCTGATTGCTAATATAATATCAATTTATTAAAATTCATATGATATAAAAGTTTTTATTGTTATTGAAAATGAATTTTTACTGAAATAAATGTAAAATTCTATACTTGAATTTTTGAAAACAATTGAGATTGGAATTTGAATATTATTTTAGAAAAAATAGATAAATTTCTCTATATGTTTCAAAATATCATGTATGAAATTAAAAATATACATATTAAATGCAAAACAATTAAGCAATGTTATTTCGGTAGTATATTTTTGAAAATTAATTTCACTTTTCTTTTCTTTTTCCTTATATATCATAAAAAAACTGTAAATATGCTTCATATTCTGTAATCACTTAAAAAATATTTTCTGACACTGATTTTTATTGCGATAATATTTATGCTATATACTGTTATACGAGAATCAAAATTTCTTATTTATATCAGATATAACTATTCTGATTGCTGGTTACAAACTTTCAAATTTTTCTGGAATTTGTCTTTCAAATAAGTTATGAATTGAATCATTCTATCTGCATTCGATGTACACTGCTGTTTTACAAAACTATAAAGCCTTTTTCATGTTTTGTGGAGAAAAGTTGCATACTTGCAATATACGTAGAAAAAAAAACATTTTATCAGATCAACTATCAAAACTATTATTTTCTTCGAACTTCAAGATCAATTAATTTAGCCCCTTTATTTCCTTTTTTGAATATATACAAGTTTTGCCGGCACAATTGAAACTCAATTCAAACGTACGGAAAATATTTTTATTACCTTCTAGCGCAAATATGCGCAGCTAATATTTTTTTCACTATATTTACTTTTCTTTACCAGAACAATAAAATTTTATACCAGTAAAATGTGACCAACATTTTTAAATTCAACGAAATTTCTAAAAAATACCAGAAATCGAGGCTAGCGAGGAGATTTGTTGCTAACGAGGGTGATTACATTATTGATTAAAAATAAAATCTTGATAACAAATATCAAATGTACCAAAACAACATTGCTTTCCGGTCCCCCTAATGTATTATGCTTTATTGAAAATCCTTACTCTTGTACTTACTTTCTCCTTACTCATTTCATTTCGAATTAAATTTAGGCATGTCTTAGTAAAATAATGTTTAAAAAAAGGAATGCTCTTCATTTTTGTAAAAAAAATTCTTGGAAACAGGAATATTATTTAAAAATTAAATCAAATTTTGGTGAATCAAATGTCTCATCATTTATGTGTATTCCTTTTCTTCAATCTCTCCTCTATGCGGTGAGTACATTTTGTTGTGTTGTGGACATATATTTGTCTGTTTTCAATTGGAAGCATCCCATCACTATATCAAATGCTTTGCTTGTATTTAGATATGGAAAGTCATTGCCGTATTATCTTAAATGTATGATTTTAGTTATTGAAATTTAGTGATACCAATCCGTTCAATTTTTACCTTATACTGAGGGACCACTGAATCTATTGAGTTACTGCTATTCCACGTTGGTTTTGTACTTCCACTTTTCGTAAACGATAACGTTTATTTAATTACTTTTAATCTTATTTCAAGCCTTAATTTTTTCTTTAACTTTGAAATCAATAATTGTTTTTCTCCCTTCAATGACTGAATATTTAATATTCAAGTTCAAATACAATCTTCTTCCATTTCAATAATTTATATTATTATTGTGATGTATCTCATCTATTATACAATTCCAAAATCATCATCAAATCTATCATCAATCATTCCATCCATTATCTAAATAAATAAAATATTTAATTTGCAATAACACCATCACTTATTTAATATTTATTTTTAAACTTGTTATAGTCCTCATCAATCAGACGCACGCTTAGTTTGATAAAAATATATTTAATTATCTAATTTACACACAGTTCAAATCGTATAAAAAGTAAAAATAAATAGTGTAGTTTTAAATTATTGTGAAATAATTATTTCAAGAGGGGAACAATAAGGAAAAAGAATATCACTCTGAATATCTTTTGCACTAATAATCGGGTCATCACAAACTAAATGCCAATATTAATGTTTTAAAGGGTTCATCTCAAATACGCTAATTAATAAGTGGTAATTATCAATTAAATTACGAAAATAGACGCAACAAAAACGCACTTTCTCTGAATAAATATTTTTTTCGATGAATTTGAATTTTTGACCTTCAAAATATTAGGGATAACTGCAAAATGAAAAAAATAGTCCGAAAAGTTAGATAATGAGTGCAGTCGAAAGGTTGAGTCCCTTAATGTCAATGTTACTTTATCCTTTTTTCGTCATGTCTCAGTAACTTCTTAAACGAAAGAAAAAATATTTGCACACAATTGTAAAACTTGTTCATCCAACGATTCCTGTAAAAAATTATTTTTCAAACTATTTTTTTATTATATAATTTACTAATGTCGAAAAAATTTAAATGCAAGGTATACAATTGTTTACACCAATTTAATTAACATAATCTTGAACGAAAAAATTCGAAATGTACGCAAAAATAGAAATTGACAGTAAAAGTGCCCTAACTTTCAATCATCCTCCTGTCTGAAATATCGGGGCCATATTTTTTTAGATATCTGTTGCCCCCAATATTTTGAGGGTTAAGAACCCAAATCCATAGAACGAAGATGATTTTTCAGAGAAAGCACGTTTTGCGAAATAGTGAGTAGCTTAAAATATCGCCAGCACTAATAAACTATCATTTTAAAGTTAGACCCATCAATATTTAATACTAGTATGCAAAAATCCGATCATTAGATCAAAAGTTATTAAAGTACTCGTTGTCTTTTTCTTGCGTACTACACATACTTTCACGCTATGTAAAAATAACAAATGCGATATCCTTGAAAATTCCAAATTTTTCACCCTCAATCGTTCAATTAAAATAATTTAAATCATTTGGTTACTTCCACACTATCTTTCTCTTTTGAATCTCTCAGGGAGTCAGTTTGATGTCTTGATTCCATATGCCTCTGTAAATCTCCTCTTCACATTAAAACTCTTCCACAAATTGGACATCTATACGGAGTATTCGAATCAGAATGAAGATGTACATGTTGGTTCGAATTGCTAAGATCACTAAGCGATCGAAAGCAGAAATTACATTTTAATGGTAATATCCAGTATGATTCTTAGATCAAAAAAAATTATAGTACTCGTTTTTTTTCTTTACTCACTGCACATACTTTCAAGCTATGTAAAAAAAAAATACGATTTCCTTGAAAACTCCAAACTGTTCTCCCTCAATCGTTCAGTTAAAATTATTTAAATCATTTGGTTGCTTCCACACTATCTTTCTCTTTTGAATCTATCAGAGAATCAGTTTGATGTCTTGATTTCATATGCCTCTGCAAGTCTCTTCGTCGCACTAAAACTTTTCCACAAATCGGACATCTGTACGGAGTATCCGAATCTGAATGAAGACGTACATGTTTATTCAAATTGCTAGGATCACTAAACGGTCGAAAACAGAACTTACATTTTAATGGCTTATAGCCAGTATGAGTACGTACATGTATTTTCAGACCATATTTTCGAGAATATACTTTTCCACAAAAGGGACAAACATGTCCTTGAGATTGAAAATCGGACTTCAATGGATTATCAATCCAACTATTAGAGCTCGATGCAGAATAACAACCAGGAGATAGTTTTGGAGGGAAAATGTTGCTAGATATTTTCGTTTTCGGACGAAAACTAGAATTGTAAATAGTTTGAGTTGAAACTGTGCATTCCGGATAAACTGAAAATTGTCTATCTTTCATCGTAAAGTTTCTGAGAGAGTTGCTTAAAGGTTCTATATGAACATTTCGTGGCTTAGTCTGTAGTAAAGAAACACATTCAAGTGATAGGTGAACTTTTAGTGGATTTGGGTTCTCAAATTTTTTTCCACATTTATGACAGAAATAATCTTGATTACCTAAAACAAAAATTAGAATATGTTAGACATATTTCATATTAGAAGCTCACTTCATTTATACTTATTTATCTAATATATTTTTATAATTTGTCATTTTTTGAATTCAGTATAAGTGATGCAGTAAAAAAGTATTAGATTTACTTTTATGTAAAATCTTTTCACTTTTTCAGTACTGATAATAATTATTATTGTAGTGTTTCTATACTCAAAACATTCACTATTGAAAGTGTTTCGAAAATATTAGCCTCATAAGAAGTACCTTTTTCTTGTTGTACCAAAGATCACTATAAAGATAATAGAGACAAAATTATTATTATTATTTATTTTATTTTATTTGTATATAGTTCTGTACACCATATTATTTACGCTCATAAATTCCTTTTTATTTTTTAAGCTAAAACTAATAAAATACACTTATGAAAATATTAATTAATAATACCTAACATTTATATATAAAAGCTCATAAAATACAATTTAAATGTAATCTTTTTTTACATTTATGTATCGACTGCAACAGTTATATTTTTAATATATTTAAATCTCCCAGTTAAGAGAAAAACTCATGGTAGCTACGAATTTTTTTTATAATTAATTTTTAGAAAATAGGCGTCGAAGAACTTTGAACTTTTAATTTGTTTATGTATGTATATATATAAAGTCTTCAATAATAACACCCCTTATATAGTCTTCATTAATTTCGTCATTTTAGTTAACAATCTCCCTAAATAAACTACAATGGGGTTTCGAGTTGAGAAAACATTTTCATATATTTGAAAGTTCCCTTTTGGTCACAAATCACTTGATTTCGTGACGAAATAACTCTTAAAATAAATGATATATAGCTCAAGGATTGCTGAATCGTCAAAAGTTCGTTTGTTTCGGAGAGTGTGTATTGTCTCTTGATTAATATATGGTAAATTTACTTATTGTTCTATTTCTTTTCTTTTCTGATGATCCAATCTAAAAATTTATAATCTAACTTATTCATGCTATTTATTTAAAATATGATCTTAACTCTTTTTTTAAAATCAAAATTAGTCACCATTGAAATATATATTTTTCTTAGGCAATCTCGATTTCCGCTAAAAGAGAACCAAATTTAAACTTATTTACACGGTTCTAATTAACTTCTTAAACTTAAGTACGCGATAGTACTGTTCAACCTGAGTGGAAAAATTATACAATTTAACAGTCTATTTAGGTTTCAATTAATTTGCAACGTATTATCGTTTAAAGTACTAATTTTACAGTTCGACTTGGGGTCAACTTTTCTAAGAGTGTATATTAGGGAATATGTTTAACGCCTTATTTTTAAAAATTCATCACGATTGGTCTTCTCTATTATTTTCTAAAAATTTTAAATAATATGATTAATATATTTACAGGATTCAATTTTCTGTTAAAGGTCACGCCTTTAGAGGACGCCATACAACGGGAGAAGCTTTTCGTTACAAATTTTCTTTCCCCTTCATCACTAATTTCAAAATTGAAAAAAAAGGAAAAGTGAGTTCAGGCAAACCGGGAGTAAGCCATGAAGTTATAATTTTTGACGAAAAAAATTTAACATATATCATAACATATAACATAACATCAAAATCCAAGCAAATTATTGGAAGAGAACTTCTCCGTAGCGTAATCCTAAGGTATTATCTCATAATTTATTTTCATTTGGATAATTCAAATATTTTTTTTTCAGTCTTTGAAACTTCATGGCTTGCTGTANATATATATATAGTTTTTCTCGTGGTACGGCTTATTTGTGAAACCATTTTTTTTTCAACTACAAAAAAAATTTTCTTCGTGCCAATTTCGTTGCTTTTTTTCTGACTTTCTGGATATTTTTAATGTTACTTTTGTCACAAGATTGTCTTAAGATTATAAGAACTTATTTCATTAGTCTTTCAATTGTTTAATAATAACCACTGTGAATGGGCCACTGTAAATGAATGTTATTTATAGTGTGTGTTTTTTAATAAAAATGAAATGTTAAGAGTTATTGTAAAAACCAGATTATTGAAATTCATTTTTAAAACAGAAACTAATTTTTTAAAAATGATTAATTAAATACAATTGTCATTTCAGAAGCAAATGATAACGAAAAACAAGAGCTTGGTCTTGTTTTGTGACCTGCCACATTAAAATATTTATGGTTTAAAAGAAAACAAGTTCGTACCTTTGATATTAAAGGGCTTTAAAAATGGATACTCTAATTCTGAAAGCAAATCAGATCCAATCCATACAAATAATTCTTCTGAACTCTTGATTAATCTAGTCGTTCGTAGAACCAAAACACCGTGACTTTTTATTAGTTCAACATTTTGTTCGTAACAGTTTCGAGCTATATCTACGAAGCAAGCCCAATTTTGTCCAGCTTCTTTTTCCAGGATTGATAAATAACCATTCCTTACTTCCACCTAAAAAAAAAATATTATAAGTCATTTAAACGATTATTAGTTTCCCGCGCCGTGCACATTAAACGAGTGCTCACTAAAATCCGTATAAAACCGTCTTAACTCTCGAATAGCTGAAGTTAAAGTGGTGTCTAGGTTTAATCAATTTGCTTGAAGTTACAAGATAAAAATCTCTATAGATTTAGAGGAGGTACTGTTTCTATCTCCTAAACGGTACAAGATAAGAGGGAAAAGTGAATTACGAAGCCTTTGAGCATTATCTATTTAGAAAGATTCAGTACCTTGCGAAAACATTAATACTAAAAATACTTAAAGTAAAACGAAACGCTCATTTGTTTCCAATTTAATCTTTGTCAAAAATTAAGAAGAAATAAACGTGCACTTTAGGAGTCACCACAAATTAAAATTTAAACTAAACTAAAAAAAAAAGGCATTTCTAAAATTTCTCTAATTATGAAAATGTGATTAAGAATACCAAAACCTGTTTCAAAACCTCAAAGGAAAGAAATGTGAACCATTTGTAAACCCAAAGAAGCGGGCAACCATTTTGTAGTCTTACATCTCACCTTCCTCATTAGTAATTGGATAAATTTCGAACGTTATTCCGTTTGTCATCACTTAAATATTAATATGAAACTTTTAATGAATGAGCTTCTTATTTTAATTTTAGGCAACATTTCTAAAAATATATATTATGCATGGTAATTTTATGGAACACCCTACATGTTTAATAAAAAACAAAAGAAATAATGAATACTTAAATCAAATTGAAGTTTGAAAAATTAATTGAGTAACTTATTTTCATGGAGCATCATAAAAAATAATCCCTTATTTTAGAAATCTTAAAAATGGCATTTGTCTACTGTCGTGATTCTGTCACGTGATTGATCTTCACTATACAGAAATCTGACATATTGCGCTTCGATTCATACATGCAGTAAATAATTTATTTTATAAATTACAATTAAAAAATAAAATTCTTATTGAAAAATGCTTCATATTTTTTTTAATTACCTTATAAAGTGAAAAATAATTTTTTCAGTGATTAAAAAAAAGTCTAATATTTTGAAAAATCCAGGGTGATAACCATAGTTTCGATACTTTACTCAGTTTTTCTATGTTAGGAATGTAAATTTGCTGCTCGATGGAACATTAATTAAAGCAAAATATTTTATAGTTTAATTAAGGCAGCATATTTTATAATTTTATCCAAGGAAATCGTGATGTGTACCACTTAAATCATTTTAATTTAATGCGCGAATGAGGGATTTTGAAAAAATAAGTTTGAATACTAACCACTAAAAACATAACCCATTTAATAACAGATAAAAGCAATAATCGAAAGAATGTTAAAGATAGGGCAAATACATAAACTGAAGTATTGAAAAAAATAAATTATTCAACTGAAATTATGAAATTCTTAAAAATTCAACTTATGATAATTTAGTAGAATAAGAAAAATATCTAACATTTAAAAAACATTTTAAACCTAAGAAATCTATAAGAGATACATTGGCAAGATTTATCGTTTAGCGATATGCGTTACTCTTAAAATAATTTGATCGGAAATCGTTAAATAAATCATGATAACAGCATCCTTAAACTTATCATTATAGCTGCAGAAAGGAACACACAATAAACAATCTGGCGACATAACTTTATTAGAAATAGCCAAAGGATGATTTTGAAAAATCTACTTGGATTGACACGATGCAAAAATTCATAGAACTAATAACTAAAAAAATATTCAATCTCTAGTTGATAACATTTCATAAATCTGATATTGCAAACTTTCTGAAAGTTACTCATTGGATAAATTTGCTGAAGTAGTTAGATTTAAAATTCTGCAAGATTCTCTAGAAAATCAAATTATATATAAATATATA